TGTCTGTCTGTCTGTCTGTCTGTCTGTCTGTCTGTCTGTCTGTCTGTCTGTCTGTTCTGTCTTACGCAATATATTCGTCATAAGAGTGCATCGGTTACGCTATAAAAACCCAAACATGTTATATTGTCATTCAAATAAAACTCTTGGCATTCAAGCGCGAAGCATGTTTCGAAATAAGCCCTACTACTTGTCTGAGTGTTTAATCGCCGCGGAATTAACAAATTCATTGCGGTGTAACTGTTTCCACAAATGAAGACCCCAGTCTGTCTTACCGCTCGTTAAGCCCACAAAAGAGCCTAATCTTGCTGCAGTCTAGGTATCCTGGGAAGGAAATAAACTCGTGTATAAAAGAAGAAAATAAGCCAACAGTAAAACCAGCATGATTGTGTTGCAAGTCCGAAATATAGAGCACTCCCTCGCCTCGTAAAACAATGAAATGAAACAACTAGCGAGGATTTTTGGAGAAATACTAGACGCTCTTAAAACGTTGTCACGATTTAAAAAACACCTTTTGTGCGGTGCAGAGTTTATTTTCCTTTTTTTTTTTTGTTGCTTCTTTTCTTTTTCGTTTTGTCTATTCTATCTTTCTTTCTTTCTTTTCTTCTTTATTTTTTTTCTTGTTTCTTTCTTATATGTATACGATCTATTTCTTTTTCTTTCTTTTTTTTCTTTCTTTTCTTCCTGTCTTCACTTATTTCTTTTTTTCTTTCCTTTTTTTCTTATTTACTTTCTTCTTTCTTTTTTTTCTTTCTTTCTTTCTTTCTTCCTTTCTTTCTTTCTTCCTTTCTTTCTTTTTCAAGTCCTATCTCTCTTTCCTTCTTCCTTTCTTCTTTTTTTCCCTAGCTTTGAACATTTCACGCAACGACAGCTATGAATGTGGAATGACAACTGTTTACTTTGTACGCGACTTTTGAGTCATAAATACAAGTGTTTTATGGGCTATGCATGTCAGGAAACGGTTGCCTATTAACATACCCAGACGCTGCGTTTGATACAGCGCATCCGGCACGTCTACTCGAGGCCAGATCTGTATGCAGCACCC